GCTCAAGACCTTGAACTGTCATCTTTAACTTAAGAACTACTGCAGTTGTTTGCCAGTCAAATGGAAGAATACTAAAGCACAGCATTTCTTAGACTATCAGTAAGACCTGTTAAAATCCATTCAGCATCAGGAAACAGAGCTGAAGTTCTGAAAACTGATATTGCACAATACTCCACCTTAAGGATTTATCCTCCTATCTCCATTCCGTTTTATTACTTATGCATTGAAGCAAGCATTGTATGACTAACATAGTCCAATGCAGCAACTTCATTTGATTCCACTATTTAACAAAAATCAGGAGAAAATGTCACCTTACTTGTCATATGCAACCACATTCACTCACCAGCTGCATGAAACTGCCACCAAGGACTGTTTAGAGGCAGGTCCAGATTTGAGGGCAAGAAAAAATTTGAGATTCACATGCAATATAACAACAAAATATTACCAGCAGGCCATTTCTGTGAAAATGCTGTAAAATCTTTTTTTTGACAAAACAGTTGCCATCTTTTATCATCAATTAAAGTGTCTGGATTCTTCAAAGACTTATGAATGTCTGCAATCTTGAACTGATGGCCCCTATTTCTGCTATTAGTGTAATGTCATACAGCTGTGAACTGCTTTTACTGTATTTAGTCAGTATCTCATTTCTATCTTGAGCATAATCTTTTTTGTTTGTCATTAGACATCACCTTATCCTACAATTGTCTTCTGTTTTCAGAGACACGAGTTCAATTTTGTTGTACGCTGCCAAAGTCTCTTGATATAAGGGAGCGTTTTCCAGTGTGTAGCTGTTTATTGAATTAAAATAGGTAAAGGCATAAGCTCAAGGGTACTGGGACTTTTAAGAGTGAGTACTAAAGTTTTAAGAACCCACTGCATTTAGCTTGTATAAATGCAGTAATTCCTTCTTTTTCTTCATATCAAAAAGGTTGTAATAAAAATTTAAAAATTCTGAAGTAGTCTGCCTGTTTTACTTTTTAGTACTTCAATACTTACGGAACTATTTTCTCCAGTTGCCTCAGATTCTCCCAAGAGAAAAAAAAGCCTGCAATAGTGTACTATTTTTCCAAACTTCTTTCACGCTATGATTACTTTTTTCATGGCTATTTTTGAAGACCAACTCCAAAGATGCAGATACTTTTAACATACGGGCTGTCTACAAAAGCATTAGAACAGAATAACATTTTATACTGTAAAGTCAACCTACCTGTTCTGTAGAAGTTTTAGCAAAAGCTTGTTATGCCCTTGATCACGAGCACAGAAGTTTTATTAGGTGAAGACAATGAAAGAGACTCAGAGCCACAGCAGGTGCATTCCCTGCCTTTCAAAAGCATCAAATAAACCCAAAGAAATTTTCAGGACTCTAGAGCTAGACAACTTATTTCTAGCATCTTCAAGAGCAAAGACTCATTCCAACTGTGGCAGCAGCTAACTCCTGGAGCCAGACAAAGGCCTTGCACTGTAGGGTAACAGGAAAAATGAGATGGTAAAAGTGGACAGATGCGAGTCTGGATATTCACCTAGGCCTGGTAGAGATCCTGTAGCTGCTGCTCAGTGCCCTGATCAAATGACCACCGTAAAAAAAAAAAAAAAAAAAAAGTACTCTTTCAAGGACCCTATTCCAAAGCTGCTCAGGCTGCACAGAAACCTCCAGCTTCCCAGCAGTGATTTAGCCTCTTGTCTTCTCTGTTTACAGTGTAGAGACAGCACCAACCTTTCCTCTCTCCTACCTCTGTAGGAAGAGGCCAAAAGAGCGAGAAAGAGCCAGTAGTGGGTGGAGTGCTGCTGTTTTCAGTCTGTTGTGCAACAGCACCATCCAGCTGTCAAACAAAAAAGTTATCCAACGTTCCTGCCACTATCCAGATTTGGTCCTTGTGCCACAAACAAAATGAATAATTACACCTATTAAAAAAAACAAACAAAAAAACCTCAAACAAAAAACAACCAACCAACCTACAGGTCCCTTCCCTGTTTCTGAATTAATTATATTGATCCCCTGTGTAATGTTTCCTGCATTAGTATACAAGAGTGTGCTTTAGCAAAACTAAGAATTCAGCGCAGTTTATTTCTGCCCAGTAAGACTGGCAGGCTACAGCTTACCTTGGTGTTTCAGTGAAGTGTGGAATATAAGCTCTCAGGTATGAGGAAAAGACCATTATCTTTGGCTCCCAACCAAAGACAGTTAATCACACCACAGAAATTAATGGAAAAACTCAACCATTTCATACATAAGAGCCTATGTTTTAGCTATCATAATTTACCACTTGAGCTTCAGTAGTGAAAGCAAGAACAGCAAACTCCAGTGAGGGAGAAAAATGATGAAAACTCATACTCAACTAACAGATCACTCTTGAGAGACATTATGACACAAGGAAGAAAACTTCTTGCTCTCCCAAGATTTTTCATAAGCTTGTGTTACTTAACAGTAACTATAAGGCATATGTAATGGAAATAAATGGCATTCCCTACAACAGATGACTGATTACCTGAATTAAATCTACAAGTTCACTGCTTAAATTGCTCTCAGTTCTACACTAAACTCATTTTTGTTGTAACACCCACAGAGAGCTTACCATGTGTGTCCACTGATGATCAGGAAGTCTAATATCAGACTACTGTTCTTGCATTAGCCTAACTTGTGATCTCACATTCTTGCATGGATACTTGAAAGAGGGAAAGCATCTCCTTTTCCAACTTTCTGAAGTCCAGTACTAGTTCTTTACAAACACTTTACAAAGCAATACAGGGCACCTATCTAAGACTAAAGATAAGTCAGTCAACCTTTAAAAGAAAAAGAACACAAGTGGAAACTTTCCAAGTAAATACTGGCAGGAAAAAAAAATGTAAATGCAACAGTTAACCTAGGAAAAAGAATTTCTATACTCAAAAAAACCCTGAAACGAGAACGTAGGATAAATGACTGTAGAACCCTGCACTTATGCAAAGAATGAGCATAACCATATAAAGAAGAGATGCTGTTTTTCTTTTGTCTAAAATCTACTGTATGTTTTAATTAATGTGAGCCCAGACTAAGAGCACATCAGCAGAAAAACAGCAAGCACTAGAATAGTAGCTAAAGCCATAGGAGCAAAGAACATGCCCAAAGATATGGCAGAGGTGCCAAACGACAAACCAGTGCCAACTAGGAGAGAAGGTGCCCTTAGACAAGCAAGGCAGCAAATCCAGTTCAGAGACACAGCCCTAAGGAAAAGTGGACAGCAGCTCCCCCAAAATTGCAGCTGAGAGAGGTACGGCCAATGAGGAGGTATTATGGCTAAGTTTGACTAATGAAAGCAAGGAGTTCTTTCACTATGACAAGGAGAACAGAGCACAAGAGGTTCAAAAGGAGATGTATTAGAACGTCATTGCAAGACTACATCATTAGATCAGAGACAGAACAAAGGTGCTAGAAAAAAGGTGGAATGAGAACAGACCAAAATACTCAAATTAGTAAAAAAAAAAAAAAAAATTGGTGCCAAACGGGGGGGGAAAAAAAAAAAAGACTGGTATGTAGGAGGGTATTGGAAGAAGGTGGCAATGAGGCAGTGGACTAAAGCAAGCCCTTAAATCTAAAATGAAAATTTCTTATCGGTTCCACACTAGGAAAAACCAGTAAAATGTCAAAGGTTGCATTTAAGTGCAGAGAAAGTAATTTGAAATAAAGAATCCGATGATTTTGATTGAAGAAAGTCCATTTTCCTTGCCAGGAACTGACAAGAGAACTTGTGACATGGCTTGGAGGCTGCACAGCTATGCTCAGAGAATTGCATACTCAAAGGCATAGAGTTACACACTTATTCCAATAACAGAAGGGGTAGGATCAATCCGCTTCAAAACTCAGATGTAGATGGAGAACGGAAAGGAAGAGCAAATGCAGATTTTGCATAGTTATTAGGCAGATGAAATAAGGAGGGGAGGTGCAAACAGCACAAAAATCCCAGCAAGCATAGAAATAGGCCTCCAGTGGAAAGAAACAAGGCAAGCCAGACAGGAGAAACAGGAAGCCATGAAGTCTTTCCAAAACAGTCTAAATAGAGACAACACTTTTACACCATCCTCTGTGAGGTCAGCCAGAGTTCTGCCAACTTGATCCCAGTAAGTACTAGAGGATTTCACATGGAACCTGAGCTCATGACAGTAGTTTTTCTGTTTTGCCACAGGGTTCAAGCTTTTAAGCCACGACACCAGAAGGCAAAAGCTAAGACACTATCTCCACTAAACAGCAACTATTTACACTTACTAATTGTTCAGTTTAGTTAAGGAATCAATACTTCCTAAGATTAGAGTACCTGTTCAAGCTGAGCTCTCTAGCCTTGTATGAGTAAGCATTTCCAAACCTAGAGCTTCAGCTGTCCAGAGAGTCTTAGATAGATGTACTATAGTTAAACCTGCCGTGTCACTCAGAGTATATGTTTACATGTCTGCAAGTCCTCCCCCCGCCTGCCCACCAGCAAAGTATCTATTTACTATCCACAGAAAGTACTATCTTCACCACCTTTCTAACCTTGTAACAAGCAAAGCTTGCAGATCTGATTTATTGCAAGCTTCTGCTGTCACTGACAAGTACAGTGGCAGACCCAATGACAAGCTTGCTGCATTCAGGATTTTAGATTATGAACAGTCTCATTTGAAGTGGGTACACGGAATACGACACACGTGGAAATAGTGATAAGATCACACATGTGATCACACACAAGATCACAATCCATACTGTTGGGCAGAATAGCTGGGTGCATGAAACCTGTTGCATGTACCAGCTCCTCAACCTGCTCCAGTCTTAGAACCACACTGCAACACTCATCACCCCCTCTTTTCACTCAGACTTTCTGCAAGTCCCATTAATTTTATATTTAGCATTTCACAGCAAGCTAGTTTCTACTTCCAAAAGTATCTACACATAAGTTGTATTGACACTCATGTCTTCCAGTAAAAGGCCAAGCTCCCATGACAGGAAGTATGAATCAAACCAGAAGTCTTATCCTAGAAAGCTCGCTCACACATTTCAAAACTTAAGATCTTATTTTAATCCGAGATATGACAACTGTAAAGTCCAGTTCATAAAACAGTAACTTGCTGCTGGTAAGTCTTCATATGTACAGAGGAAACAGTCAATTCAAGTTTCTAGTCAATAGGGCTTCCCCATTGATTCCAAGATTTTCTTTCTCTCTTCTGCTGAGGGCATCTCTGGTTTCACACCATTTCTTCTCCTTTGCATCATAATGCCATGCTGAAAATAGAATAAAGTGATCATGAGAACAGATTTCTCAGAATCTCTGCTTCTGAGCTCCAAATGAACAAGACTGTTTAATAGAAAAACTCTTTAATATATCAAGAACCAGATACTCTATCAGGTAGTCAGACAACTAAGCTTACTAGTACTGAGTTGAAGATACCTGATAGGTTACCCTGCTGCTTCAGAAGACAGTGAAATCTGTATTCCCATTAAACTATGTCAGACTAATGCACAATTGTCTGCAAATAGTTTTTTTGCAGTTTGCCAAGTATTTAAAGGCTAAGCTAAAAACTCTTTACTGCTACGGCATAGGGAAAGAAAACAGCACAAAACATAGTTCCTCATTATACTTCTTTACCATAAGAGAGAAGGCAAAAAGAGTGAACTCTTACTAAGAATGAACCACCAAATAAGAATGAACGCTTCCTAAACTTTATCTTAAGTTAAAGCAAACATGATCCAAAACAATGGAAAATCAGATAACCTCACCTTACCTCAGAACTTTTTCATTGCCTCCATTTAAAAGAAAACTTATTACTAGAAATACCTGACTCAAATTCAGAGGGAAACATCAGATACTGCAAGAACACACAACCTAAGAGGGTAAACTTAGAAGAACCGAGTGAAATGCTTTGATGTGCATCTGCTTAAGTCTTCCAGCAACACATATTGAGACTACCCGGACCCGTAAGTTATCATAAAGACAGCAGCAGTCAGCATTAGCTAAATCTGAAGGGTTCAGAAAGCAGTGTGTCAGAAGTAATGTACTTAAAGCAAAACAGGGACTAAAATTTAGAAAGTCTACTGTGCTTACCCAGAATTTTCTGCAGTTTTTGTACTTCAAAAAATAAGCAGTACACATATCCTTCTTATAGTTGTTTTCATCCATACATTTTGTAGTGGCATCTGTTTCCTTTAATAGGGGAAAATATACTTCAGAGCTGAGGGAAGTTACTGTACTCAGGGTTTAAATACTTCAACAAGTCCCAGAATACCTATGAAGATAGGAGGCAGCTTCTCAGATGAAAGAATACTATCAAAGAGAGCAAAGGAACATCTACCACAAAGGATAATCAGTACTTCCAAGCAGTGAATTCATTTGGAGGTAACAGACATTAGTACTCTTTAAACAGTAAGGATAGAGTTCACAGAACAGTTGTTTAAAATGATGCTTAGTGTAACTCATAAAAGACTTCTAAAAAAATAACCAAGCTGGTCTAACCAGGATTTCAGGCCATGGTTTTAAGGACAGAAAATTAAAAAAGATTGCTATCAGTTGTATCACTCCTATTTATTGGGAATTGCTCATTACTTCATGCCTACTATAATGGGTGATTTTCAGCTCTTCCCATCTTTAGACTCTTAAACTTTTTATGCAAAATGCTATAATGTAAGAGTGCGATTCCTGAAAAAGGCCTTTAGAAATTACATTATTTAACATCAAAACATAAAAACATAAATCTCAATTTTATCATCTTACCGCTACACACGGATTTATATCGTGATCTCTAAGCTTTTGTGCATGCCTGGACATTCTAGACAGACACTCGTACCTTGGATAGAAACAGAAAATAAACAGGTTAAGTATCTACTTTTAATAGTAACTCAGGGTTAAGTCTGAACTTCAACATGTAATAGAGGCCTTGCAATAACACATAGAGCCTTTAAAGAAACCAAACCAGAGCCAAACCACTGCCAAACTTCTTTTGCAAAAATGGTATTTCAAAAGCAGTACCAGCATGAAAACTCAGGCAAGTTTAGTCCACCACCAAGATTGCTCACTCTCTGATGAATTTCTGCAGAGAATGGAGTCACTGCAGTAACTCTCACACTAGCCTGTGGTATCACAGAGGAAGTGACCGTGTTTAGGAGAAACAGCTCCATAGAAGCTGCTCACAGCCAACACACTGTAGGCGCTTCAATTAATAGTGTGTGGGAGGAATGTACAAGTAAACTTTTCCAGATTTGTGCCTACTCCTTCGCTGGATCACATTTGTATCTTTACTGAGCTTTCCCAGGTACAACAAGTGCCCAACTACCTCCTGTGGTGCTGTATCAAATACTTAATAGAAAGAGAAGTGTTTTCCCTGCAAGGTGGGACCAGACCCACTTACACTTGTGTGACAACTTGAATCACATTTTTCAACACTTTAGTAGTTTGACACTGACTCTAGGAACTGTAAGTTTAAGAGACACAGAGTTCAATGCCAAGAACCTACACTGATCCAAGATGATGACATCAAGATGAAGAGCAGACCCTCTTTCCCTTTACAACTTCCTATACATTGCCTCTGGCACACATATGGTCATGCAGGTATTTGTTCCAAACAAATACTAAATCTAAGCAAAAATAAATTAATGTTGACCAGATGACTGTTTGAGGCAATGCGAGTAGGAAAAGGACTAGGGAGCAAATACTGTTGATGAAGGAAACTGAGCTGGATCTTTCATTTTTTTAATTTTCCCTAAAAATTCTAAACTTAAAACTTGTTTCTGTTCACATAAGGGAAAGATAATGCAAGTCTGCAGTAAAAAGCCAGTTTTGCTTAATACCAGCAAACAAAAGTCAAATACTATTCTTTGCAGTTCACAGATAGAAAACAGGGTTTTAGATGAGATTTCTTCTTGGAGTAAAAGTAAGCCAGTCTCAGCAAACAAGCCCTAGATTTTACATCCTGTGCATGCATACTCTGCTGATGCTCTCTGCATTCCACAAGACAGTCTTCTGCAAATGGGTCTTTTAATGAAGAGCATTAGGAAACCCTTCAACTTTCCTTTGAGAACTATTCAGTGCTTAAGTTAACTTTACAAGCTAGGCAAATGTTTGCTTTCTTTGTGAGTGCAAGAGCATTTTTGATCAGGCACTTCCAACTCAAACGGAAACACATGCAGGTATACTAATAACACCCCAGACTTCAAGAAAGGAGGAGGGAGAGGAAAAGAAGTAGAAAGCAAAAGCAGCGTAACAGTGCCTCACTTAAGTCAGCATAAAAGACACAACAGTTTTAGATGTTTGTTTTTGTCTGTTATAACTCTGCATTTCACTGATATCACCATCTAAGTAGACATGCCACAAGGTGTACGGTATTAGGCTGACTTCAGACTTACTCTCTGAAAGAGTGTTTGTGAGTCATAGGATGCGTTGTCATAATCAGCGTTCATTATACAAACTGCACTTGACGCTTTCAGTTTGATTACACTACCAGAGTCTGCAACCGTGACCGGTTTAAGGAACAATGCACACAATACATTAAATACACCTACTAATGAACAGGCAGTTCAGGTTCTCACGAAGCTGCTTAGCTCAGAACAGGCAAGTGCTTAGACATTTTTAGTACTACCGAAAAGGTCTGATAGCTCCTGCCGCGTGTTCCTCTCTCCCCCTCTCCGAAGTACTTCAGGGCCTGAAACATTATCAGCTGGAAGGGCAGGCAGGTCACGCCGAAATGCCGCCGTGTGACTGAATGAGCAGTTGGGCAGGAAGCGAGCTTCCCCCTCCTCCCAGGTTTTGCACATGCACAGGCTTCCCTTCCTGCTTTCAGATCACAGGTCAGAACCCAACCACAACCAAAGGCCTGTCTATTCCGCAGTTCTTAATTATGCTTTGACACATTAACAGTTGTAAACTGTACCACAGAGAACCAGGGCTGTTGCTGGTACTCCTTAGCCCTTGGGCTTTTTCAGTTCATAAACCCATCAGGGCACTTCTCCACAGGCTCCCTCCCATTGAAAAGCGCCTGGTCTGTTCTAAATGTACATATATGCATGCAAAAACGCTAATTATGCTGCAATACAGACTAGCTTATTAAACTTTGAACCCTAAAGCCAAGGCCGTATTATAAACCCCACGGCTTTCACCGTGGCGGACGGGGGCGGGAGGCGGCAGCCGGCGGGCCCGGGCACGGCCCCGCGGAGCTGCCGCCCGGCCGAGACTCGCCTCCCGGGCCGGGGGCCCATCCAGGTGCCCACCGCCCGGCCCCTGCCTCCCCAGCCGCCGGCGGAGCGGCCGGGGGCTCCCGGCGCTCCCTTCCCCCGGCCCGGGTCGCTCCCCGCGGTCGGTCCCGCTGCCACCCCCCGGCACCACCTGCCGCCAGGGAGCGGTGCCCGGCCCGCGCCGCCGCCGGGCCCGAGCGGGGCTGCCCCGGCCCGCGGGAGGCGAAGGGCGAGAGAACCTCCCGTCCGCCGGCCGGGAAGGGGGAGCGGCGGCAGGCACAGCGCTGGTCGTCGGCAGCGGCACTCACCTCTCCGTCCCCGGCCGTGTCCGCGGGAGCGCGGGGCGGGAGGGGGACAGCCCGTCTCCAATTCGAAAGACGTCAGCGGCTCGGGCAGCGCGCTTAAGTACGGGCGCAGCCTACCCCGCTCCCGGCCCCGCGGCTCCCCCCGGCCCCGCGCCGCCGCCGCCCACGCCCCGGCGGTGCTGAGTGGCACGGCCGGGCCGCCAATGGCGGCGGCGCCGCGCCCGCCCCGGCCGTGAGCGGCGCCTCCTTCCACCAACGGGGCGGGCGGCGCGGCCCGCAGGCGCCGGCGGCGGGGCGCGGCCGCGGCCCTGACTGACTGGGGGAGGCGTCCAACCCGCGGTGCGTGTGGGCGGCGGGCGGTGTGGGCGCGGCGTGTGCGGCAGGCTGGGCTGCACCGCAGCGCATACACTACAATGGCTGCTGGAAAGACGGGAAAGCAAACAATTTCCAGGCCCGCCGCGTCCAGCCCGAAATATGGGGAAAAAATTACAGAAAAATCGGAGAACACTGTAAAGGGTGGAAACGGGGCGCAGAGGGGATGCTGAGGCTCCCGCGGTGAGTCTGCTGCGGGTTTGGGGGGCAGGCGCCGGGGTTTAGCAGGGAAATATCAGGGTTATTTAAATTATGAAGGGGGAGGAGGAGAAGGAGGGGGGAGAGGAGAGAGGAGCAGCGAGCAGTGAGGAAAAGTTTGTGTTAACCATCCCTCGCTTCCATCCCTCTCCCCCCCCATCTCCTGCAGCCCCCCGCCGCCCCGCGTCGGACTCCCCCACCCCCACCCCCACGAGGGGAAAAGCAGGGGAGGGGAGGCGAGGCGAGCGGTGCCCCCCCTTCCCCTCCCTCGCAGGGAGAAAGAGATGATTTTCAGAAAAACCTCTCTCAGGAGTTTCCTCCACTCCTCCCCTCCCTCCCCGCGGCGCTATGTTGGTTCGCGAACGAGCGGGCGAGGCGGCGGGGCTGCCCGGGGGACGGCAGGAGGGCGCGGGGTGCCCGCCGCCGACCCCCGCGCCGGGCCGGGGCCGGGGCCGCGGGGCAGGGGCAGGGGCAGGAGCTGCGCGGCCGCCCCCTCCCCTCCTCGCCTCTCCGGAGCCTGTGCTGTGAATGCAGTGACAGCGGCGAGAGCGGCGAGAGAGGGAGCGGAAGACATTAGAGACCGCGGTGCCGAAAAATGAGGGAAAAAATTAATATAAATTCGCCCACCGCCTCAAACCGGACAAATTTTGCACAGAAATTTCCCCCGTGGACCCGGCTACCCGTGGGGTGTCCCCTGGACCTGGCGGCTGCGGCTTTGGGGGGATCCGGAGTGACTTTGGGGCACTCGACCCCCCTTTCCCGTCGTTTTTTGGACAAAAGTTTTTTTTTTCGTAATAAAGAAACGAATTTGCCTGCTCTCCCCCTCCGAGTGGCCCAGGAGCTTTTCCCTTCCCCATCGGTGTGTGTTTAGAGAAAAGTGTGAACCCAAGTAAGTGCTGAGTCGTGTTGCATTGGGGAGGGGGGTTTTGCTAACTGAAAGCAGGAGAGATCCGGAGAGAGAGAGAGAGCGCAGGGACAGCTTGTTGTCAGTATCATAAACAACCAAAATGGAGGGAGAACTGAGGCATATAACAAAATAAAAATCAGAAAAAAATGCCAAAAAATACCTAAAAATCGGGGCTGCTCCCCCTTTTCTTCCTCAAGGTAACAGAATAAAACCCGTGTCTTCCCGAGACCGTTTTAAGGTTTCAGGGAGCAAGGAGTTAATATTTATTATTTTTTTTTTGTTGATGAATTCTTTGGAAAGGCAAAAGCCTCTTATAACTCTCCACCGACAATGAGAAAACGTGAAAATCCCTTTCAGGAGAGAGAGGTAGGGGGAGATGATGGTGCAGAAAGTGTGTAACTTGGGGGTAATGTGGAGTGATCCTAGATAAGATAAATGCTTTATGTGCTGCTTTATAACTTCTTTTTTTTAATGCTTTTTTGGTATGTTTGGGGGGGGTTTGGGGAGATGGGGGCTCTTTTCTTTACCTCTGTCTTTTTCTTTCCTTTCTTTTTTTTTTTTTTTTTTTTTCGGACCGGAATGTAATGCCTTTGTAGTGTCACTTTCCTGATCTAATTAGGATGTGTGAGGCAAAGAGTAAACCTTTCCGGTTTATAAAGTGCATTTTCGTTGCCTTTGAATTTCAAGTTTTCCTGGTAGCTCCCTTCTCTATTTAAACTGGATTCTTCAGAGTAGTGTGAGGTTGAGGTTATGCTCCATAGGAAAAGAAGAGAGGGCTCTGGGGCAGGGCACCTCTTCTGCGGATGGTTGCTGATTTCCCTGGCACGTTCAGTTCACCTGTTTGTCTCCTACAAAGAATGTATTCTGCAGTCTCCTCGTTTTATTTATGTTAAATAATGATGCCTCATCTCACCTCACATTGAAGTTAATGCGAAAGTGCTGCTGATGTTGGTTCCACGTGGGATCAGGGACATAGCAGGGCATTTTAAAGAGACAGCTTCTCTTTTCCTATGGTTATCATCACCTCTGCAGCACCTCTGCCTCTAGCAGAGGGATGGTTCGTTGTTGATTTTTTTTAATGGAAAGCTATCAAGTCGGCCCTGGTTTGATAAATTAAGACAGGATAACAGGGGAAAACGTGCAGATTCGTTGGGATCAAAGCATTTCTTTTGTGTGTAGCAGGTCTTTAGGGGAGTTTTCTTGGTGTGTTAATTGAAATGCTGTGTTTTGGAGAGTGTTTTTTGGAATGCATGTTGAAGAAATGAAATAGTCTCAAGTTGTTTAATATTAAGACATAGTGCTGTTCTGCTAGCTGTGAATTCCCTGGGTGGAGATGAATTCCCTATGTGTGTAGGGCAATTTCACAGACATTTTGTAAAAGTTGTGAAGTGCATTATTTTTACTTTGAGTACATTCAGTTTTGTTGGGAACACCTGAGTTTGTTGAAAAGCTTGTTCTCTACTTGAATCTCCTGAACAGCCCCCAAAGGTTTTGAAAATAGTGAAAGTAACTGTAGGGGCTCTTTACAAGTACACCTTAGCTGTGTAGTTATAACATCACTTGGAAGAATTGCCTCTGGCTTTGTTTAAAGAAAGAAAAATCATCCTAACTGTGGTCTAGTTTCATGTATATGTGTGCATGTGTGTGTGCATGCATGCTTTTAGCATGGGTTCTGGCTGATATAGTTTTTTTGCTTGATTTTTAACTTGAAAATGTTTAACTGTAATGATGTGAAATGCTCTGCTTATCCCTATTATCTCCTATGTATTTTAATTTTCAGTGAAATATCCTATTTAAAAAAATTAACATCGCCTCTTAGCATGGCAATTTTATATCTTTATGAGAGTTACAATGTTTCCTTTACATTTGCTTTGGTTTTTTTAGTCTTTGTATTTAGTTCTAGATTGAAAGTTGAATACAGATATGTGGTTCTTGAGAGCAGAGCTGAAGTACTGAACTTGTAGGCAGGCTGTTTCAGCAAATGTTTTCTTTGAATTTGTGGAAGTTGAGTATCAGTTGTGATAACCCTCCATGTTCAATAGCATGTGCTCACAAATGATCTGTACCTTTACTGCAAGTGTGACCAAAGAAGCTTGTTGTCTAGGATAGCCTGGTGGTTAAAAATTTGGGAAGAAATCTCAAAGTTTTCCAGTGACTCATAGTTGTGAAAATTAAATCACATTAACTACTTTTAGGCTAGAAAAAAAGGCTCATTAAGGAAGAAAGATTAATCAGTTTGTATAAAGGAATGAACTTGAACATTTTTCCAAAACAGCCTTTTATGGTTTAGAGATGTCTTTTATAGTTAGCAAAAATTCAGACTTAAAAGTTCCTTTCCGAATATTTCTTAAACTGATCTATTATTTTTATTGACTGAAGTAACATTACCCTGGAATGCATAGACATTTGATAAATTAATAGCAGTACACCATGTGTTGGTGGTTTTAATGTACCAGGGTAGATAGACAGATAGTAGTAGATGTGCAGAACTAACTTAAATAAGCTAGTATTGAGAACAGTATTTAAGAACTCTTCAAATGCTGTATCTGTGGCCATCAGTATGAAGTGTTTAGTGTGTTACTATATTTTTACCTAATTAAGAACTTCTCAATCATTATTATTGTAATGCTGAAAATGGGTATAGGCATTGGTAATAACAACATGAAAGAAGCACGTGTAGTGCAGTGTATTTCTTGACTTGCAGCTATGTATTACAAAGTAAATTCAGTGTGTCCAACCATAGTACAAAATTCAGGACATAGGGAGGAGAAAGAGGAAAGGGTGTTCTCACAGAATTTGATACTGTTCTAAACTGGGTTTAACTTTAAGGTGCAGTCCAGATGGTGATAATAATAGTAGAAAATAAATGTTGTTTAGGATTATCTTTTTACAAACTTACTGTCTTTTGTAGGAAACTGAATTTTTCTTACAGTGATGAAGTGTTGGTTTTTTTAATAAAAATAGAAAGTAACTTTCAAAACTTCTTTAGTTCTAAGAGTTAAGATAATCTCCTGTATTATGAGTTGGTCTGATACTATACAAGATACAGTATGATTTTTTCAAGATTTTCTAAAATTAAAACACTTGAAGAAACAAATGCTATGGGCTGTTGTTGGTAAAGTTACCCTACTTTTTGTAGGTAAACTGGAGAGCTGTAAATGTATTAAAATCCTTCTTAGATACTTATCATTCCTATTCAATACTGTTTAAAAGTTAATAACTACAATATTCTACAATAGTACAAGCAAATACAGGAATCTAAATTGATATGCATTCACCTTTCCTTGAGTGCTTAGTTCAAATGTGTCTCTTGGTGTGTACTTTTAATTTGGTAATTATCCTGAAAAAATTAGTTTCCCAATACAGAACTTTGAGATTTAAATTAAGAAACCTTTCAAAAGTTTGTGTAATTCCAAAAGGCACTGCATACTAAGCACAGACACTTCTAATGGTTGTCCATCTCTGCAGCTGGTTAGTCAAAATGGTGCCCTAAAGTCTCCTCCTTTCAGGATATTACATGTGTTTTAAAATTAATGGGTTAAAGAGAGTACTGCTCATGTTCTAAATAAACCACTGTTTGCAACTGTTCAAGGTTATTTTGTTAAAATAGATGTTTTACTTCAAAGTCTAAAACATGTTTTTAAAATTTTTTTATAAAATTGTTTGTAATTGTTAAA